TGCTAGGATGCTGATCTTGGGGTGATATACTAGCTTTGTAGCATACCATTTCAGCACTGACTTTTCAGGTGGACCTGAGAGGATTGATACTCATAGCCATGTCTGCATTGTGAAACAAATACATGAATGTGCCATTGATAGGAAGAACAGATGGAAAAAAAACTGTCTAGGCCCATCTGTTCTGAAATTACTCAGGCTACAGAAAACCATAAATTATATAATATTTACATTATAGTATATATATATATATATATGGTGCAAATATATAGTATCAAGTCCTTGTAGTCAATATTTTCTATTTCTTTTTCTGGCTTATCCAGTTAACCAGTACTTCAGCTAGTTAGTACTACTTTGCTTGTCAAAGAGGTGATTTAATGAATTAGCTTGCATGTAAACCAAGCAAATTCTCTCAAGCATGGAGCACTTTGCTGGACAAACTGGGTCACTTCATTGTGCAATCCATTAATAGAAAAGAGTAAAGACATTTGTTTGTTAGTCAACAGATACTTATACTTTACACAGAGTTAACATTCACCACAAGGAGTCACATGCATAATAATTTCATTATTTGTATGTCTGGCAACTGAGGATGAATAAAAATCACACCCTCAGTTACATAAACTTCTTCAAATTTTTTTGCAGAAGTTCTGCAGTTCCTTCAAAGCAAGGGAAAAGCTCCACTATTTCCATCCATGTAGATATCCAAGATTTACAAACTGAATAGTCTGAAAACTATCTCAGCTTATCCTCATCATATCCTTTTAACATTTTGTGGTTCTTCTAATGGAGTACCACCCAGTTTAGATAAAACTTTCAGCTTTAGTTAACAAAGACACACTAAGGCTTCCAGAACAGTTTCATAATATTTTTTTTTCTACAAATATAGCAATAAAAGCCAAATATCTGCTTGTAGACACATTCAGATAGCACATTCAAATATGCTGTAAGTAGCTTCTACACCCAAACTTTTCCCCTTTCAAGGTGTTGTTTATTTCAAGGAATTTTTTATTTCAATTTATCTGTTGAACCAGCAAGCATTTGCTTCAGTCTATATGCAAAAGGAGATATGGGTTGTAATCCTTTTTACCCAGTATAGATAAACCAAATGAACTTATCAGTATGGCAATCAATGGAGACTTGTTGCTGCATCTCTGCAGATCACTTTGGCTTTGCATGAATCCAGTTGTTGCCTCTGGCTCAGTGTTCTAGAAGTCCCCTTTGTCCCCCTCCCCATTTCTCTGCCTCCCAAATTCTACCCTTTCACCATGCACTCTAGTCTGTGGCACATTGAAGGACATGCATCATTTCCATTGTTCTGTCCATTGGAAAACAATACCAGATCAAAAATGGTATACTGACCAGAAAGTAAGTATAGGATGATATAGGGGAACTGTTTGTGTATACAGCATCCTCTTTAGTTGTAGGAGAAACAACTGCTTTGTGAACAACAGCCAGAGGACTAGCGCTTAAGGGGCAGTGTCATGCTAAGCCATGGCTCTGGTTTGAAAAGGTTCATCTAGCCACAGGACTTGGTCCGTTGGCCCCAGAGCATGTGTTCCATTGTAAGTGTGAAGAGATGGGCACCAAGGCTTTAGTTCTCTTTTTCTTCATCTCATGAATTCTCCCCTAAATAGGTAGAAGAAAGTGCCTAAAGTGTTATCAGTGAGGCACACCCTATTAAAAAACCTCAATTTCTCTGAGTTTTTCTTCTTCCATTCTTTTTCTGGTCACTTTTCACCTACCACACAACACAATGAACTGGAAGACCTGCTGTGATTTACTGCTGTTTTGTTTCAGGATGTTTTTTTTAGTAAAAAACTGTAGCAGCCAGCTAGATAAATAAACTGATCCAGCTAAAAATCAAATGCAAACCACATTTTTGTCCCAAGTTGGAGCTGAACTTTCTGTATTTTGGCATTTGTAGACTAGTTTTCCTCTTCATACAGTTGTAATATCATCTGGTTGAATATCTCTAGTGATACTGACATAAGACAAAGAAATCTTCCAGCTCCATTTTACAAATATGATAGGTACAGAACTATTTGGAAAATGATATCCTTGAAGAGCTGCAGCTACTCACATGCAAGGAAGAACTCCTAGGTATTGTAGAGTCCAAGAGGAGCCTTGGCTGAAGTGAGCATGAGACTATGGAGTTTCAGAACCTGGGAGGAATGACCAAGACAAAGAATACTCCTGTTCTGGTGACATCCCGGAATCTTTGCTCTCTGGCCAGTTTGTTATCACCTCTAGCATCCCTGGGGGGCTGGGATTCCCTATTCGAGCCCGTTGAGTTATCAACACAACCCATTTCCTCCACGTGGCATCTGTTGCATGATGTGTGGAGGAAGCCTTTCCTTTGAACATCCATCCCAGCACCGGCAGTCGGGGTGCCAGGAGGAGCTGTGTTTCAGTGCCGATCACTTCTGAGGCAGACCGAAATCCTCCGTATGCTGCCAGTATCTCCTTCTCAGTTGGTGTGTAATTAGCTTCAGAGCCTTTGTTTCCCTGGCTCCAAAAGCCCAGAGGTTGGCCTCGGGTTTCCCCAGGTGCTCTCTGCCAGAGGCTCCAGGGAGGGCCATTATCCCCGGCAGCGGTGTAGAGCATGTTCTCAACCTCCTGCACACACCGGACTGGCCCAAGGT